AACTCCAGCGTTAGTCAGTGCGGGAAAACCTGCCTCAAATCAGTCAACGGGCATTTTGCTACTGACGTCATTGGGGCCAGGATTCCCCCAGTGGGAACTGCCGCTGCTCAGCCCCTCTGAGAATCCAGCCTTAAGAGGCATGTTCTTGGTGGCCAGAATGTTTCACTCAGGCTGTGAAACTTCGACTCTTAAATGCAAAATAAATAAATAAATAAATAAATAAAATCCCCAAAGATGCAGATTCAGAGTGACCAAACTGTGTACGAATTTGGGTAGATTTTGCAGTTAAAATAAACAAATAAAAGAAGAAGAAATTCAGAAATAGTTTGGCCTTTTCATTTTGGAAAGCTGTTTCATTTCAGAATTTCCCTAAACGTTATTTAAAAAATATATGTCAAAAAAAGGTCATAGACCCCCCTACACTGAAACGAAATGTTTAGTTAGAGCGGATGTGATTTTTTTTTACTTTCTTGCTTCACTGAGAAATTAAAAAAAATGTTTCCGTTCTATCCAAAACAATTTTTTCGCCACCATTTTTTTTGTTCACCCGTTGAACCAAAACTTCAATTATTCACCCAGCTTAACGCTTCGATCCATATTTAGCCATTTAAAGAGAAGGTGCTGAGGGCCTGCAGATCTGGGAGCCAGAAGTTCTCAGCACCTATGGAAATCAGACAGCTTTTCCTTGGGGATCTCAAGGCAGGTTTAGGAACCTCACCCTAAGCCCCCAGGTTTGCCAGTTGTAGCCTTTATTTTGATAATACAGTCAAAACAAGAGCCTGTTGGAGTCGCAGCAAATTCTGCAGCAGTGACCTCCATCGCGTGATTGTTGACATGGAACCACTTATCTAGCTCAGTGGGGAAGGAAGGTCCTGTGGTTAAAGCTCTGGACTGCGACTTACGAGACTGCCGCTCTGCCCCAGGCTGCCTGTGTGACACAGCCCAGTCACGTCAGCCCTCTGTTCCCCATCTGTGAAATGGGGAGAAGGGTCTTTCCTTTCTCCCACCCTTTGTCTGGTTGGGCTCTGGTGTCTGTAGGAGCTTTGGGCCCGAGACTCTCTCTCACTACATGCTTGTGCAGCGACTGGAGTCTAGGGTGACCAGATGTTCCGATTTTATAGGGAAAGTCCCGAGCTTTGGGTCTTTTTCTTATATAGGCTCCTATTACCCCCCCACCCCCATCCTGATTTTTCACATTTGCTGTCTGGTCACCCTAGTGCCACTGTAACACACACACCAACAAGCGAACCTAGGTGTTCAGAAAGCAGCGAGCGACTCTAATGAGAGTGATGGGAAGAGGGAAGAAAGTTTACAGGTTATTCTCCATTGCACACATTCCATTGCAGGGAGCAGTCTGGCCCTGACTGTGCATGGGATGATCTAACAGGTTTTTCCCCATCTCGGATTTCTACTACTCGCTGATTCACACGGTGGGCCTGGCCTGCCTATTCCGCCCTCTTTGCCCACAGACAAGAGAGAAACCAGTGTATCAGGGAACGTCCAGGAAATGTTCTGTCCAGCTCGTCCCCTGGATCCTGTGTCTTTTTAATTATCAGGAAGTTTGGCAGATCCTTTTATTCTCCTCCAGTTAACCTTCACCCCCATGACCTAAATTACACAGTAAGAACCACAACCTCCTCTGCCCCTGCAGAAAGCAGCTACTGTAATGATAGGTTCCTCCGAGCCATCTGAAGGGAAGGAGATGATCATGAGAGGTTTAATGCTTTACCTTGAACCTGTGGGCCAGTGACGGAAATCCCCCTCTTATTAATTCGACTGATGGGAAGTCGTCATTTACATATGCCCTGTTCATCGGACACAGGTGGCGGCCGGTCAGGTGTCAACAGGGAGTGGGAAGAGCAGATGCACTAAGGGGGATTGTGCTGAGAATATATTAACTGCTTGGCTCCTGGGGGACAGAGCCGTGTGAGGCACCGGAGGAGCGAGACCACTTTGCACACGCAGCGTGGCTCGGACATTGCATCGACTGCCATGGCCGCCCGTGGTGGCCGCCAGCCCTGCAGTATCGAGGACCCGAGCTAGAGCCTAGTGGCCTTCCAATGGGGTTT